CTCTGTTAAATATCCTCACATGTCCTCCTGCCTAAATCCTGATTAAGGCCTTGCTCTTGTTGTTTAGTAGAGGAGGGCATTAGGGGGAAGGGCCGCTTAGTTCACAGTTTCTTTTTTTTTTATGTTGGGACCTTACATTATAAGAGATACTTAAATGTGACAGATATGATGCTTCAATAAGAATGATCAAAATTGAATTTTTACAGTTTATTTTTTTTACCGGTATAATTTCAAGTTGTAGACTCTCTTTTAGCTCTGAAGTTCTGAGTTCAGCAGTTTTGGTTCTTGGGCCACAATTCGGTATGAAAGCATTTTATTACCACTGAAGCTAATTTAATGTTCAACTAAATCATTCTCCTTTCCTCCTTATGTAGTTCCTACACTTTGTGATTTTTTTCAACCCTACTTTACTATTTGAAGAGTATTTAATGGCACACTGTTGTGTGGAATTCCTAATATTTTGACATTAAATTAGAAGCGTGAACATTGTACAATCAATCACAGTTTAGTGCTTAATCACTTATGACGTGAGAATAAAATGCGATTCAGTGAAATTGGTATTGAACGTGTATGTATTGTGATATATATTGATATTGATTTTCTACGCAGCCCTTCCTAGTGCTGATGTATTTACCGGAGATATTGTAAGCAATTTTAGATTTACCACATTGCTTCATTTAATTTTTCAAACAGTTTATGAATGTTCAATATAAAACTTGCACTCCTCAAAATAGGAGAAAGACCCTGAGAATAATTATTGTCATTTAAGTTGAAAAGAATTTCTTTATTTGGTGTTAAAGGCTGTTTGGATATCATGATATCATTTTATGGTGGTTTGTAAATGTGTTTACGCAAGTATATTATTAGTATAACGTTTATTTTTATTCTTGGTTACACTACAGTTAAATGCAGAGACTAGATTTGGTGTGAGTAGATTGGTTTTCTAGTTCTGCATGACATAAGGTGGTTTTTCACTGTGGTAACTTTTTAAAGAGCCTGAGTAAATATCTGAGACCTTTTTTCTGCACCTCTTATTTTCACAGCAGAAACCAGGTCCAGTCATTGACAGGCAAGGGAGGCAGTGCTTTCTGGTTGTATTCTAAGCTTTATGAGGAAAACAGAACATTCAGATAATATTATGGAATATCCCAGTGAAAGTATTGCCTCTGATAGACCTACAGTTTCATCTCTTTCTAAACTCGGCCATTTAAATCAGGGTTTTCCAAACTCAGTTCTATACATTTTAGATTAACCTGATAAACCAGACTAAATGTGAGATTAAATGTGTAATTTAGTCTGGCCCCGATGAATGAGACATTGGAAGATTGTTAATGAGAACAACCCATTGTTTTTCAAACCATGTCTGTGCCTATTGGCCAACGCTCTGACCAATGAGAGCGACTGTGACGTAGAAGCACGACAGAAAGCTGGTGGGGGAGTGTAAACAAACAGCCTGTCGAGTAAACAGCGAATACGTCCTTCTAAACAATGAACGACCGTAGAGCCTCTTCCTGCTCACGTTTCAACAAAAATCCCAAGTCTAATCCTTCCAAATCTGATTCCAAGCCTGAGTCAAAAGAGAACTCTTCAATAGTTGTCATCTTCCTTTTTGTGCTTTCTCCAGCGTCGCACAGCTTTGTCATCACGCCCTGAAAACCCTGCCCGCTTTGCATCCAGACATTTAAAACACATCTCTGCGTTGTTGTTGACCCGCCAGTTCTAGGGCCTGGGGCATTGATCGAGGCTAGACCACTCGCAGGCATAAATGATTTTAGCCTCTGGCGGGTGGGGCTAGTTTACTAGGCTACATTTTACACATTTTGTCTATGCTCCAGCACACCTGCATTAAAGGATTACATTACCTACTCAGAAGCCACCAAGGGCTGCAGAGGCTTGTTAATCACTGTTATTTAAGTCAGGTGTGTGAAGGCAGGGAAATACCCAAGACATGCCGGACAGTCGGTCCTGAGGACACGCTGATTTGGAACCTGTCATGTTTCAGTATTAAGGATGTCAAAAGCCATGCAGATGGTCAAGTGTATTACTTTGAGGGGAAGTTGTCCAAGCTTTCAAATATTTAGACGCAGTCAGTCCTTTGCTGAGGTTATAAAACGCGCTGATGTTGTGACGACTTTAATTCATCATTTAATGCAGCTCTATTGATGGTACATAGCTGAGGCCTTAAAGAAAAACTGTAACTTTTGACCCAAGTGTTTGCTCAATTTATGATTAAGATTATTTTTCAGGTTAATATACAACACTCAGTGTGTAAGGATGCTCATTAGCGGCTGATCCTCTCAAAAATTCCATGTTGCTTGAGAGGGTTTGATCCATCACTAAATGAGCCTCGTTACCCTGAGAGCCTCTTCCAGGCAGTCTGACCTCCCCTTAAATTACAACTTGCGTTACTTCAGAGCCACACATCCGCAGACATATATTTGAAAATCCTTTTTAAAAAAGGCATGCTAAAGAGCCGTGGGTTGTGAAGGGGTGAGGGTTGAAAACGGTGTCAGCTGATTGACAACAGCATCCTAGCTCACACTACACTAACAACCCATTTTAGATCAGGAGGATGAAGCATAGTCCGTTTCATCACTTTTCAATACATTTTCAGTTTTTGTTTTTATCATCTTCATAATTAATGTTCGATAGCATTTAGGTCTGGTGAGAGACTGAAACAGAGCTAATGTCAGAAAAGGTATTTTAGGGGTAAGTAGTTCTTTGACACCGAGAGCTTTTTAAGCTGAAAGTTGTTGTTGGGCAACAAAACAGATAAGACACTTACCTGGTCAGACATATTTGATTTTCTGATGTAGACCTCAATCTGTGGCCGTGTCTTTACAAGTTACTCCATGAATTCTCAATCCACTTCTCTAAAGTGGTCTGCTGTCAGATTCTACAACACAAACTGTTTATTTTTTGCAACTGTGGCCTTTAGGGGAGCTAAACCTGGAAGATACAGATTTAGTGACCTTAGTGGCTAAAAGTTACATATTGTTGCTTTAAGAAATAACAAGCTATGGCTACTGACAACTTTCTGACTTAGAAATGAATTTGTTTTAGTTTATAACTCCAAAACATATGTATATATAGGGTATATAATATGGCATAGAATCCAGTATAGGATTGGTAATTTTGTGGGTTGCTCTATCAGCTAAAGGCAAATTTAAGATTCTCTATATTCCAGTTAACATTGAATTAACTACTAAATTAGTTGACGATTATTTTAATTATTGAGCTGATTAATTGTTTCAGCTGTAGTTATAACAATAATAATAATATACGATTAGACGGATTACATTCACAACGAACATAACATTTGAATAAATCTGGCACAACATCCCAGTCTTGACCCAAAAAAGACTACATGATGCTAAGCCATCTATGTCCCATGTTCTCCTACTAAGCCTAACTTTGACTCCTGGAACAGTTTGGTGATTGAAAACTCCTGTTAGTGTTTTATTTATTAGCACATCAAGGTTTTTATCTTTAGGCTGGATAATCTCTTTTATATGTGGTGCAGGAAGACCTATCCAGTTTTGAGAGAATCAGATCTGCAGGAGAAGTTAAAATCTGGAAGAATCTTGAGAATAATGCTCCAATTCCTTTTTTGCAATTCAACACGTAGTCCCCAACAGTCCAGCTGTTACATACATTAATAAGGAGACAGAATCTCATATTTTTATGTTTTTCTTCAGTCAAAGGCTGCCGGGCATTTATTAGCATTACTTGGCTTTGATGTTTAAATTAACATTTAATGAAACGTCCTGTGCATTTATGTCTAGATTCTTCTACTTTCTGAACCAGTTCTCGCATTTTGAAAAAAAAAGTTTTTTCTTTTGGCTGTACAAATTCTGCAAGTGACCGTTTTTCATGTCCAGCTATAAATTGGATAGAATTTCGCCACATTTTTGCATTTGCGATTGAAGCAATTTACTTTAAATGAACATCCTTTGGGCTTGGCTACAAAAGGCCTGTTTCAAAAGTTGGTGAATTGTGGTATCTTTATTGTTTACAATGTTAGTATAGTACTCAGCGTAAGTCTGTGCCATAGATGTATTCCCCTCAACATCCAATAGCTTTAATGGAGTTTAGATTTACTATCAACTTTGAAAATCCAACCGCAGCGCTTGGCTAATTAAGTTCATGAAAGGGATCTTGATGCACACACAATTTCATCAGCCTTAAAATATTGACCTTCCTAACATCTCCTAGACGGACATCTCTCTTGAGTCACAGAGATATTGGATAGCCCATCATGAATTTCTATAATTCTATAATTTTTCTGTTTTTAGAGCCCTTATTAACGCAAGAACAAAATATATCACGATAAAATATCTACGGTAAAACAATTTGGGGAAACTTGAGTGAGTTAGCAAATTTTACAGATTAAAATAAAACAGGTGCAGTTGCATCTCTTCACTCGGTTGCTTATCATTCTGCAATCAAACCTTGCTGTATTGCCTTGGGCCCTTATCTGGTTCCCTGAAATGATAGGATTACCTTACATATACCACCTGCCTTATTCAAGTCAGAAAAAGCTTTTTCATCGTACTTTGCCTTGTCTCAATTGTATGCATGATCAAATATGTAAAACATGTTTTCCTAAAGAAATACATGTTTCGATTAAGTCTGTCATCAACTTCAAAGGTCACATGTAAAGGCCGTCCTGAAATGTATAAGTTGTTTATATGTATAATAATAAAAAATACTATAATGGGGTGCACCTTAGAATTCAAATTCCTTTTGGTTTCGCTGTCTGTATGATTTACAAAAGGACAAGACCGAGGTAGTGATCTTGCATACCTGTATAGCTCAGCAGCACATTGATGTTTTTTGGTCATTTTCAGTGTGCCTAATGTGTGTGGGAGTACTGATCCTGGAAGGTGAAACGTGATCTTTTGCTTCCACACACAGGGACACATCTATGGCTACGAATGTGTGACAGTCTGTGTTGTGTCTGAAGTTAATGCTGTTTTTTTTTCCATCTTGTTTTTCAGGATTCTGTGGACGCTGCTGCAGCAGGTGTTTTTTTTTTCTTTTTTTTTTTTCCTCTATTTGGATTTTAGCCCACTGACATTCTCGCACAGCCATGGAATCGGTAGGTTCAAAAATATATTTTAGATAACTTTCATGCTTTGGCTATTTGTGCTGAGACATTCTTAAAGCTTGTTCTATTAATTGAGAAGCTGGGTTATTCGGTATCATATAGCATGTGTGTATGGGCATGCAATATTGAGTGTGTTCCTTTAAATGCTTTTAATTTATTTATTTTATTTCCTTACAAATATAGCCCTTAATCGAACATTTTTCAGGTAAAATATGTTTTTTGTCAGTGAAATTATGGTGTCTGTTTTGTGCAAAAACATTCAGCACCAGTTTGCTCTCAGTAAGAGTATCTGCCTTACTCCGTATTGTTAAACATGCAAGAGTTTGTAATTGCATGAGATGCCTGTACCAGCAGGCAGGCAGGCTGAAAGCACAGTAGTATTGAGCTCTATCCACTGGAATGCATGCATTAAGAATGAGGCTTAGTGCGTGCCTAACCTCTGCTTTCCTGTCCCTTTGTCATAGGCCGTGTGTGCCCGTCTGTTTCATAGACTATAAAAAGTAGGTCACAGCCTCAGTAGTGCAGAACTAGCATGTGTCCAACAAAGGTCCTGCAAATCCCCCAGTCTGTGTCACACATACAGTACACATACAGAAATAGGGCTTGCTGTTCCTTTTTAAAATTTTGTTTAGCATATAAAACCTTACGTATGTTTCTTGGGTTTAACTTAGATTAAATCTGCATAGCTGAAGCAGTTGGTTTTACACTTAATATTACCACAGCTTGACTAGTATTGACAACATACTTTTAGAAGGGAAATAAGTGTAAAATGGAAATGCACATAGAGGCCTCAGTGAGATAATGTTCTAATTAAAAATAAATTATTTGAGATTTGTTTTTATAGTAATATGTAGCTGGGATTTAATTATGCTAGTGACACCAGCAGCTGCTTTGACTCTTCCCTTTTTTTCCCCGTATAACTATCTTCTTAACACGACAATTACACATAAAATTAAATGACAAAAAAGGAAAAAATTCTCTACTCCAGGGAAGCTGTGCGCTTTCCATTGGGGAAAAATAAATAAATCTATGCCTCAGTTTTCAGTTTGTTCCATTGTGCGCATTCAGATAAACATATAAAAAAAGATAAAAAAAAACGTTTAATGTCTCACAACATAGTCAGGACAACTGGGAAAGAGAAAACTGTTCCCACTCGAACAAACTTTGACATTTTTGACTAAAAATGCATCTTGTTGGGTTTTAGCGTTCTGTGTAGGTGGTTAACAGTATAACTTTGCCCACAGAGTCATCTGCAAATGTATATCGTCCATCGCCATTTGTTGGACGGCCGAATATCGGTTGTAAAATTGTTGCAAAACGCCCACCCTAGTGGGAAAAATATCTGGTCCATTTAAAGTAAAAAAAAAAAAATTCAGCAAGAAACTGACTTACGTTGATAAGAAATGATAATGTCCATATGACACAAAGCCAATGATAATGTCCATATGACACAAAGCCAATGATAATGTCCATATGACACAAAGCCAGTTTTGGTGTGTGTTTGCGTGAAGTGTTTTTTTTTTTTTTCTTTTTTTCTTTTTTTCTTTTTTTTTTACCACATTTCCACTGGTTATGCAGTGTACTGCCCCCTGTGTCTTGGAAGATTACTGCGCCAATGTCAGCATCTAGAAGAACTCCCTACAGCTCTCGATGAGGCTTGCACCCTTTCAGGGGAGCCCTGTGTCACACCTTGGAGCGTAACTATAACTGAGCCTCTATTCCCCCTCTATCTATTAGTCTCCCTCCATCTGGCTGAGCAGCAGCAGTGAGGGATGTTTTTAGTTTAGATTTGAATGCTCTTTATAACTTATTTATGTCAGTGGAAACTAAACACAAAGCTTATTATAGTGCAAGAAGTTGGATATAAGCTGGGTGTACACATGTTCATCCGGGGGCTGGTTAAACCCGCTCACTCACACACTCAGTCTCACTCAGCTTCTGCCCCTCTTCTCCTTCCATCCCTCATGTGATTCCAGTCACATGCTTTCAAGGCAGGCTGCTCAGTAAATCAGAATCAGAGCTTTATTTTTAACTGCTTTAAATCCTCAACCTGGTCTCATGGGTTGCAGAACCAAGTGATGGCTGGTCTCTGTTTTTGTTTTTTTAGCCAGTCTGTGCCAATACTCTTCTCTATGTATATATATATATATATATGTATATATTAGTGCTGTCAATCGATTAAATTTTTTAATCGCGATTAATCGCATCAATGCCTGAGTTAACTCGCGATTAATCGCATTTTAATCGCACATTTTTTTTCCTGATTGAAAATCATTTAAATACTCTCGATGACATACAAAAAAATACATACAGGCTAGGTTTGTGCCAATGTTCTTTTTTTAAAATGAAAACAGGTCACAGATACTGATTTATGCCATAGAAACATATGGCAAGAAGATGGGGAGGCATGTAGCAAAAAATAACAAATATGTAGCCAAAAAAAAGGCCCTGAAAACAGACTGATGTAAAAGACAGTCTTTACAGTTAATACAGTCTTTTGAACAAAGACAAGCATTTTACCCTACTGCTATAAAATGTAGTACAGTTAACATTAGATGTTAATTAACCAAGATAATAATGAACAATTTTCAATCAATACATCAAAATCAATAGACCAACATCACTAGATGAAGGTAGTCTATGCTCTAGAAAGTTACTTTTCAGCCTCTTAACAAAAATGAGAACACACACACACCCACTCACCCACACACAGACACACCCACCCACACACACACACACACACACGATACCGACAAGAGTGCCGTAGCAGATTCCATTTCACCTCAGTAATCTGTTTTCTCAGCGTATTTCAGGTTGCTACTAGTTACCAGACACTCAACTTGTTTGTTGGTGGTGGGGCTTAAAGAAAAGGCACTAGCGTCACCCAGTGTATCAGCGTCTTTTTTCCTTGAGGAGCTCCGTTCTCGAAGCCTATGAGAAATGCATAGACTGGGGGAAAATAGCCCCGCCTTCCCGCAGGCTGCAGCGGGATGTACTTGGAAAATTGTATCATAAAACCACATAGCGTTAATCTCACGTTAAAAAAATTATCGCCGTTAAAATGGCCTCGCGTTAACGCGTTAATAACGCGATAATTTTGACAGCACTAGTATATATGTATTTATATATGTATGTATATATGTATGTATATATATATATGTATATATGTATGTATATATATACATACATATATACATATATATATAATGTATATATATATATATATATATATATATATATAGAGAGAGAGAGAGAGAGAATAATGATAAAAGTTTTGTTATCATTAAAAAAACCCAAAACAAATGGCCAACAGACTGCAAGTATGTGTGAAATGTGCGGTTGCATATGCTGCTAAGTTTTTTTTTTTTTTTTACCCTGCTTCTGTGATGCCATCTTGAACTCTGTTAGCACACAGAGTTAAAGAACTTGAGCCTCTTTATTGGTTCATGACCAAAGGTCCTTCCATGCAACAAGCAAACGAAGCAGTAATTGGAAGTAGAGGACTAAAGAAGCTACTACTGGCCCAGTTGTAGGCGTATGTCAAGCGTGTGTCCTCTGAATCATTAGCATCAAAAACACGTTGGCTGGAGAAATCCAATCTGGTGGTATCAGAAATCAGTGCGGCCCAATACACTTAATTCTCTCTAAACCTGCACTTATTCCCATAAATACAGTTAGGTCATTGCCAAACGTCCAATTTAAAATGTTTGTGTAACTTGATTGAATGATGATGGTGAAGTGATTTAAAGGTTCCTGTATATGCAGCTTTGTTTGCCAAACAAAGTCATATGCATATCAGTATAAATGCACTCATCAGCATAATAGCATTGGAAATCATTGATGTGAGGCAATAGTCTTTTCTGCCTGTGTCAAGTAGTGTGCACATAGGGACTGATACCATTCACATTAGAACTGATAGAACGGTACCAATGTTAAGTAGCAGGAAATCGGTGTTGGTACCTATTTTCAGGACTGTACTTTAACAGTCGGCTTACTTACCTGAAGCAGAGAAACTGATGATGTGGCTGCTTCCATTTTATCGTCACTGTTTCAAATAGAAAATGTTCTCCCATGTTGCTGAATAGATGAAGCAAGGTGTGCTAACTGTGCTGAATGCAGGGTTTTGAGCCCTAGATCTGAGGCTGTCAAATTGTGAACTCTTGTATTCAAACAGTTCTGGTCTCAAATACTACAGCAGGTGTAATGTGTTTGCCATTTCTAAAAGTGAAGCCATACTCCAGAACAAAAAACCAAAGCAAACATGGCTAATAGATAGCGTTCGGAAGTCATCACTGTCTTGTACTGTCATGCTGTAATTCATGTCCGGCACAGAAAATCTCTTTCTCTAACCCTCCTTCCATATTATGTTAGCTACATGAACTTAGTAATCAGAATAAGTGGCTAATTGGGGTTAAAATGTCTTGTATAAACACACCAGTCAAAATATTTTAAATCGAATACAATTGTAATTGAACTGAGAGGGTTTGTTTATGCTCATTGACAATCCGATCAGCCTAGAAGGCTTGTCAGGCTCAGGTTGTTTTTGAATGAGGCAGGCTGTGCACCCCGCTTTAAAGGGACTTGTTTCTCCTCTGCGTGGCTAGATGCTATCAGACTATTCCTACTGGCTAGTTTACATGACATTTCTACTCTGATCGGCCATTTTATTCACATTACTTATGTCGTTATAAAAGGTGCAGCCTTGGCATTGTTCGTTTCTTTATTTAATCCAGATATTAATTTGATTTGTATATATATCTATTAGGGGTGGAACGGTTCGCAAAATCCACGGTTCGGTTCGATTCACGGTTTCTGGTCATGGTGTTCGGTTCGATACATGTTGATTGTTACACCGAAATCCCATAAAAATTTATGGAATTAATGAAAAAATCCCCCAAAAAATAATGGATTGTAATTATTTTAAATGATCGGCGGAAACCCTGGATCATTTCCGTATGTTTTGCTGCTTTGAATTTAATCATCTCGCGCAT